CTACTTATAGACATAGTCTTCATCCTCAGAATGACCATCAGTAAGTCACAGACGAGCCTGAACAGTGAGGGGGCAACGTGAGGAGGGGTCGCGATCAGTGGAGTGGAATGTCTCATCCAGAGTATTCTGCTCACAGGGTTTCGCCCTCTCCGCTCTCTGGTGTCCACTGTGCGGAGCAGACACCATCTGGCCAGCTGGAATGCTACCGAGCAGGGGGTGGAGGGGGTTCAGGGGGTCTCTGAGCTTGAGGGGGATGGGTCATGGCTGAAAGATGGAGTATTAACAGTAAGGGTACACAACACTGAGTCAGACAGATGGAAAAGAAATGGGAAAAAATGATGTACCGAGGCTGTTTGTTTAGCTGTGTCCTGAAATGATAATTACATTTCTAACCTATTGCTTAAAGAGTTGCACAGAAATCGATTACGTACCAAGTCTGTTCTGCTGCTTCATATGATATTAAAGAAGAGAAAAGTATGGTCATAATGTTTACATGAGCTTAAGCTAATTCTGTTGCCTCTGGATGGAGTGAGGGTAACTGTTACCTCGTTCCCAGCCTTGACACTGAGCTTAGCTGCAGCTTTATATTAAACACAAATAGTTATTATTAGTTTTTAATGATCACTGTGAGTGTGTTTTTTAGTATTTCCCCTTTTAATGTAAAAGATCAACTAACTAACATTCAACTGGTTCCTCAAATCCTGTGAAACTAATGAAACTAGAGCAGAATCGTGAATGATGCAGGAACTATTGTTCGAGGTATCAACCGCAGATACAAACACTTAAGATGAAAAAGGGGAAACATTATTTTGGATTTGTGTTGTAAACTTGTCCCATTAGGATAAACTCAACATAATCCTTTCCCTGCATATGGTCTACCACCAAAGATACGGTTGTTTGTGGGCATTTTAATGAATGGATGTTTCATGGTAACATCTGTTACTCATGTGGGCACAAAGAAAATAAAAACCCTGGTTGATTTGCACAGAAATGACTTTGCATTAAACCCACTTGTTCTATATTCAAAAACACCCTTGGATATTTATTCAGATTTGATGATGGTGTCAGATGAAATTCAGCTCTGGCACGGAGCTAAAACATAAATGAAATAGAGAGAGGCCTTGTGCCGCTGCCCCTGTTCATGGAAACTATTACGTGTGCATAAATCAAATGAACGTCAGTATAACCACATGTTTTTGTGCCATGCAAATATTACACTGGTTAAAGATGACACTGAAGAAGGCCTTGGCTGTGCAGTCGCTGTCCAAATACAGTTAGCATCATGGTGTCAATGCTGGAAGCAGTCCAGCCTAACTGCTAGCTGAGTTTATAAATATGTCTTAGTGGAGATTAGCCTGAGGGTAACCCAGAGTACTCCTCCCTGTGGAGTTCCTATTGCTCACATTGTCACATCCCTTCTGCTTTTTGTAAATATTTGCACTGCAGGAACTTCTTGGCCGAGGAGCCGACATTAAAGCCTCTGGAGAGAGGTTGGCTCCGACCTGCAGGGAGCAGACAGATGAGATGGGGCTGAGTGGGAGGGTTTAGTGCCTCCACTTGTTTGCAGTTCAGCTGTTGACTGTTACTCAACTGTTAAGTAATACAGGCAGGTACTGTGCAAGACGGAGAACTGTGCAGAAGACCTATGTCTCACTGACCACATGCAACACTAATAACTACATGTGGTCTTCCTTTTTAATGTGCTAAGCGTCTTCAGAGCTTCATTGTGAAATTCTATTACAAATGAGAAAGAGGGATACACTTTCAATTGGTTCCTAAGTCTTCTTAATATACAGTGTGTCACTAATACCAGCATTGAATATGAAAACAAGAGATAAAGGGGCCTTAGAGGAACTCTTATCATTTCACTTGTGAAGGTTTCTGTATGTTCTGGACCTGTTCCTGCCGGGCCACTAATAAAATGTAGAAGAATCTGACGAAGGTGTCAACTTCAAAAACATGATCAAACTCCAGAGAACGTCCGAACACACTTTTATATTCACACAGATATTTTCCAGAGTTCATGTCTGACAACTGGTTTGAATGTCACCAGGTGCAGAAATGCATAATATCAGGGGTCTAAAGAAAGAGAATTCACTACTGAAGGTATGTTTAGGCATCACTACAGCCATCCACAATAGATATTAAAGCAGTTAGCTACTAATTTCAGGCTTAACTGCGTCAATACAGGTGCACAAGTTCACTTCTTTTTGGCCTCTCTCCTTCAGAGCCGTGTTAAAAGCCCAAATTACCCATATAAATCCAAGTTACACTCCCAATTTTAAATAGATTGTTTTTTTACATCCCTTGAGCTACTTCTCAGCCAAGCAACACCCTGTGGGCTGTGCATTTACTCCAAAAACACTTTTAGCTTTTTTTTTTGAGAGCATGCTGGCAAAACAGCAGCACAATGTACAAAACAAAAAGGCCTAATGAGAGACGTTCAATCCCTCTGACGCTGTAATACAAGGGAAAGTCCCCTGACGGCCTCTGCAAATTGGTCAGAACACACACAGAGGGGCGATTGAATCAGTCCTGATACTTGCTCATTCCAGATTAAACTATTTATTTAAGATAAAAGTGGACAACTTCTCGGAAATGCATGACCATTGTAGAGAAAGGACACAGGAGACATTTTTAGGTTGAGATCAAACCTTTGCACTCCCTGCTATTGTTTTCTTGATGTTAGTGATCCAGCAAATGAAACCCAACCCACAGATGCATTAATGAAAACACGAGTAACAAGTTGATGTTCCAGTGCAGACAAAGACAAGTCCCTGCAGCCGGAGCTCCTCCGCCCTCTCGTCAGTGTTGAATAACAAGATCCCTGCAGGCGCAACACACAGCACCCACCCCCCAGTCTGACACGAGCCTGCGTTCAGGTGAACGCTAACACTCAACACAACCGCATGACACTCGCCTCTCCTCACCCCCAATGGAGCGTGTGTGCCTTTGTTTGGGGTCTTTACATGCTCCAACAGAAAAGGCAGGTAAAGAGCAGCAGGATCATGGGGATAGAAAAAGAAGCATGATGGGAGCCACTCCCTGATTCTGCTCAGCCAACTTTCTGTTGTTTCCCCTGAATCGCACAACTGCAGCGTGTCCTGTTCTGCAATGAGCTACAGCGCAACACAAAACGTGTACTGTCCTGACCGACACACACACACACACACACACACACACGTTAGTATGTCTTATCAAGATTTGATTCTTTTTTTTTCCTCATCTCTTGCTCAACACCAGCTGAGGACAGACTTGAGAAGCCTGTTGTGACACAGGCCACAGCAGTGGGAAAATTACAGTCTGGCAAGCCTCAAATAGCATAGCCCTCGGATATATAGCTCTATTCCATTCAGCATTTGTGAAGAGAACTACTCTTAAAATAATTTATAGCACTAAAGTGGAAGGAAGGAGGTAACTGAAATGAATGTGGGATAAATCTTGAAGATATTGTATAAATGACAATATCTGGCAGGTGGTGAGAGTCGTGTCCAGGAGAAAACATAAGGAAAATGACTGCTGAGAGAAATACACACTGCATAAACACACAGGCTTTCACCTCACGGAGAGTACAGACACAGCATTCTAAAAAGAAATCAAACATCCATCTTGGTGCACACAGTGTCCAGAGTGTGTGCAGTGTGTTTGCACAGCCACAGTACACCAACACAGATAAACATGACTTTGATTCTTAACTAGTCTGTGCCAACTTTCAGAATCTGTAGAGTGAATCGTGACATTGCTGCAGCTGTTATGCTGCAGACGTTCTGTGTTTTCATGCTTTGTTTTCACAGCTGGTTTTTGCTTCTTGACACAGTCACCGCATGCTCACTGGTCTTGGACTGTTTACTGCTCTGGGTTTTGATCATGAGGGCAGCAGAGTCACTCAGCTAGACAACGTGTTGACTTGCCTAAGTAAGGCAGCGGAAGAGAGTAGGTCAAAGAAACAAATATATATCAGTAATCACCGCAATGTAAAAAAGTCCCCTCTCTCACTCTCTCTTTATATATATATATATATATATATATATTCTTGTTTTGCGTATGCATTGTGCAAGCAGAGTGAGGACGTACAACACATAACTGATCTACCTCAGATTAATAAGATGTTTTGCTGTTTCTTATTCTCCTCTCGTAAAGAATTTAAAACCACAACCTTCACTAAGGAGCATTAATCAGTATTTGACCATCCGTAGATAAAACAATGTAATTTTGAGCGTTGGCACAACGTGACAAGGTTTGAGCACAAGAATTGAGAAGTGTTGGGACTGAGCGATACGGAGAAATATCAATACCGATAACTATCGCGTTATCTTTTCTCTTAAGAGGAAAGACTAAATTTTGATCCTGTGTGAAAGTTGTGGCAAAACATTTGAAATATTTTTGTTCTGTGTTTTACCTCCTCACTGTTCGTACACAGCCCTTAAACAATACATCTATACGTATCAAACCTTAGTGCTACTGATGAAAACTATATAGTGATAATTATCAATATCGTTTTATTGCCCAGCCCCATGTTTTGGGTGAACTATCCCTTTAAGAGAAATTGTAATGGGACATTTATCGCGATAATGAATAAAAAAATAAAATGTATATGAATCAAGTGCTGGATTAGAAGTAAAGTTAAATAAGTTTAGTGGAGTTAGCATTTCCTCCAGTGTGTTTATTGTACACTGACACAGAGGAACCTCTAATTCAATGACAGCAGTCTGTGTGACGTTACACAAAACTTGCATCCTCGCATGTAAGCATTTCCTCAAACCTCCCGTCACGTACCTGACATGTTCACAGGAAGTTTACAGATTGAGCTTGAAGTCTGCAGACACGAGAACATCCAACACCGAGGCCGAGCAGCGAGAGCACAGAGCCGCGGCTCAGCGGTCACACATGATGCACAGCTGCTCAAACAAGAACCGTCTCTGGAGGAAAGTTCGCCCCGGAGCGAACCTGAGCACGAAGTGTGAGCGCGAGGAAGGAGAGGAAGAGGAAAACAAACGCACCCTGGTCTTCTTCACAGGAATCTCTTCTCCGGACGAATGAGGAGGGAGAGAGAGAGAGAGAGAGGGGGGGGGGGAGACACGGCTCCGTCCAGGCCGGGTCAGGGTGCAGCGGCTGCGGGTAGAGGACAGAGGAGCTGCCCCTGCTCCGGAGATTCAAACTTAAAACCATCCCTCGATTCTTATTGGTCCACAGGCACGGTGCTGCGATCACGTGCCTCCAGTACACGCCCCCCTTTAGCTCACTGTGGTCAGTGTGGTTTGTGAATGTTTTTAGAGACGTGGGAACACACACACACACACACACACACACACACACACACACACACACACACACACACACACACACACACATACAGACACACACACACACACACACACACAGAAACTACTGTAGTTCACTCTGACGTTTGATTATTTCGCAATATGTATATGTGATATTCAATAGACTTAATGAATGAAAACATAATATTATTTCAAATATCGCAAAGAAGAAAACAGGTGCAATGAGGAAATACACGATCATCATCAAAATATTCATCATCATCATCATCATCACCATCATCACCATCATCATCATCACCATCATCACCACAGTGTGGTGAATATTAGTCAGACACATCTATCTGTATAATGTCATGAGTTCAACAGCAGAAACTACATCCTCTAAAAGGATCATAATGAGGAAGCAGGAATTTACAGATGATAGATAGATAGTCAGATAGATATATATATAGATAGATAGATAGATAGATAGATAGATAGATAGATAGATAGATAGATAGATATTCATATCTAATAAGAAATGTATGCATTGGCATATTTTCTGCCCCTCTTTGTTCCTCTGTCTTTATTTTTTGTCGCTGAGCGACACAAGGAAACACACATCAGATGAATGTTAATCATTTTCTTACACATTCAACTTTAAATGCAAACCCAGAGATTCGCTGATCCTGGGGTCGATGCTCACAATGAAAGGCTCATGTTGGTGTTGCAGGGCCTCCTGGTGGACATATGCAGACACTGCATGAAACGTGTGGCTTCACAGTATGCCGTGTTCAAATGAAGTTGTACATATATGACAGATAGTAGTACTCAGTGGCTGCTGTATGATCAAAACTAAAGAAAAGAAGTAATTCAGATGTTGTAACTTGACTATTCGCTAAAACATAAGATGGTGGATATAGTCAATAATGAACAAATCATTATTTACGGTGTTTTTCTTACTCATGAAAAAGGTGAGAAAGGGACAGAATTATGTTTTGTGGGTTTTTTTGTCAGGTTGAAATTTGGATTTGTGGGATTTAACTACATCGTAAACATACATCATATATCAATATTATGTCTAGGTGAGATTGTATTGAAAATGATGTATCTGCAGCATGTAAACTGAAATTGGATTGTATGGACATTTATTAGATTGAGGTGTGTGTGTGTGTGTGTGTGTGTGTGTGTGTGTATGTGTGTGTGTGTGTGTGTGTTAGTGTGTGTGTGAGAGAGAGAAGGATTAATGACTTTGTCCTCTAATCACATTTGTGTATTGCTCCCACTAATATTAAGTGTCATGTCACTACCAGTTGTACAAACTGTCTGGTGAAATACACAGTAACAAACTCATGTGAGTTCTGTGCAGGAATTAGTTTTTTTCTCCATTTTTCATCTCGTCTGAAATTATATTTTTTCCCGTTGCAGAGGTGCCGAACCCAGTGAGTAACTGACAGCCAGATGATGAATGTATTTACGAATGGAATTTAATCTTTATTTCATTTGCATGGATTTCCCAGTGTGTGTGTGTTTTTGCAGCCCGGCGGTTTATATTTTAGAGTTTTATTCACTGCTGTTGATGCAGTTTGATGTCCACTGTCCTGACAGTCACTCTGGTCCATTCACCTCTTCAGCTCCCGGAGGCAGGTCAGTTGGGCAGCACTAAACCCACCTGCAGAACATGTACACCCGTCAGCATGAACTACTGATGACTGACAGCTATCACACACAATAATCATCCCTGAGTGCAACATTTATGAGGCTGAAAATGTGTATTCCACAAAGGGTCATGCATCACCGCTGCACTTTGTATTTCAGCTCTATGTGTTTGGGTGTGATTTTTCAGCTGCAGTGAGTTAAGTTCCTCAGTGCAGCCTCAGTGCAGCATCATAAATCAAGATTGGACATTTAGGCTTTTCATCTCATCTAAAATCATTTTCAAGGTGGCTTTCTTTCTTGATTTCATGTCTTTCAGCAAAGCTATTTCCAGATACTTATTTCAGTTCTTCGCTAAAAGCTGCTTAAAAGACCAATGGTTCAATATGCTTCATCGCAGGATGATAAACTTCAGGCTTTCTTTCACTTTTAGGATTAAATTCACAGCTTTTTGGGCCAAATCTCTACTTTTTAACTGATGGCTGCTGGCGTTGTGGTAATCGTTACCTTGTCTGGACTGATATTAGGACACATCCAGTTGTACAGGTAGTAGTGAAGGCCGCTGTCACTGATGCTGAACTTGAGCTTCTCCAGAAAATCCTTGTTCTCCATCACATCCAGAGCAGAGAAGATGTCAAAGCCTCTCTGTGAGTGAGGGAACAATTTGTGATTTGAGATGGATATTTCTGAGTTTGTGCAATTTGGTGCAGAACCCCTCTAATTAACACAGGGGTCAATAAGCTTCAGAGTCATCAATGTTATTTTGAAGTCATTGCTTATTAACTGTGTAATTTTGTAAGTTTGAAAGGGATTAGAAATCAAAAATCAATCGCAGGTCTTCGGGTGATGATACATGAATATTATGAGTTCTACATATCACAGGGTTGAGGAAGTTAATTAGTAATATATATATTTGATAACTAGCCTTTCAGGGTACCTCGTCTGAACATGCATCTGCTACATCAACTCTCAAATTGATGCGGTGTTTAATCGCACTCACAGATTTAGCGAGGACCACTGCATCCTCCATGAGGTTTGTCAGGTCTGTGGCAGAGGAGGCCACGTACAGGAGGTGAGCTGCTCTCAGGTCAGTGTGCACCGGGTGATTCAGCACCCTGGAGGAGCTGCTGTAGAAACTCACCACGTCTGTCAGGGTGCCATCATCAGCCTGAGGAGGAGAATGGATTCTAATGCTTTTACCTCAACAAAGACATTTAAAGTGGAGATGCTGTAGTTGTTAAATCTGTGAGGTCAGACCTCCACCACGTAGGTGTCAATCACATTCTCCCGTGGCAGCAGCCAGTGCTCCACTTCCTGCAGAGACAGGATGGAGCTGAGCTGGAACTTGCTGCTGTTTGTCCTCAGAAGTGAGTGTGTCCCCGCTACGTCTTTCACGGTCATAGGGCGCAAACCTTTTGTCTTTGTCACCTTGGAGGAAAAGAGAAAAAGGACAGAAAACAAAATGCAACAATCTTTGGGTCCATCTTTGTCCAATAATTTGATCATTGATTTTGGGGCCAGTGAGTCTGATGTGGCACCAACATGTTTCTGTCTCTTGGTGGCAGCACTAACTCACCTCAGGAAGCCGGTTGAACTTGAGCACTCTCTGCAGGTTCATGTTCAGTCTCAGACCCGGGTAGTTGACCTCCACCAGCTTCCGGGGATTCAGAGGACGATGCCAGTATCTGAAATAGTGAGTTTGTATATTTGATGGAGGACGGAGGCTGCTTCACAAGACAAAATCGTTGAGCGTTAAATGTAAATGAATTATCATTATCTTCAATGAGCATCCATGAAAATCCAGTTGTATTGAAAGTTAGTTTTAGTCTAAAGCTCTGGCTGTAATAAGAAAAGTTTTTAAAGTGATGATTGTGGGTCACTTCCCTGAACCCTGTGGTACCTGCAGGAGCTCAGAGGAGTGGGCAGCACTACGGCGGCCGTGTAGACGGCCTGGCGGAGGCCCTGCTGGTTGACCCGTCTGGTGAGCTCTCTGATCAGAACCGGAGTCATCCGCTTGAGGCGCAGCTTCTTATGAACGCACAGGAATTTGACCTGCACCATCCACCTCTGCCTGCGGAACACGTTCGGAATGTTTGCTTTCAGACATTTGCTGGAAAATTGCTACAGTTGTGTCTGCAAATGCTCTGAATACTAATATTTCCCATCAGGTTTCACATAAACACAGATCTTTGCACATATTCATGAACATGCATATTATGCTCATAAATATATGCATATGTGTATTTGCATATATTTATTTACACGCCACTCACGTCTCATATATGCAGACGTCTGCAGGAACAGCAGCGATGAAGCCGACTAACTTCTTATTGGCGTCCACTCGCAGACCACAGTGCCACTGGGGAAGCCAGTTAGGAGGCTGTAAAGCCCTGAAGAGGAGAAGCACCACAGTGTCTAGATGAATACATGTAAATGTAGATCAATAAACTCTGAGTAATCATTTCTAATTAAAGAATTGAGCTTGAGTCGACCGAGCTGAAAGGATGGAGCCGCTTCAGGGTCAAGGACTTTCAATTCCTGGATTCGTGATCATTAGTTTCAAAGTAGATGTCATTATGTTTTTGATGTAAGAGTTCCCTAAAGGTGGAGATACCACTAATGCAGAAGATCACAGAGAAGAAACGACAGTCGTAAAGAGATAAGAGTTGTGCTGCTACGATATGTTGGAGAGTCAGAGCAGAAAGTTAAATGGGGACATTATCTTCTCCTGTTAAGACACTCAAAGCTTTAATTTCCTCAGAGGCTAACAATGAAGATGCTGATTGTCTGTGAGAAGAGCGAGTGCACTCAGTCAGTCACCACCAGACGTATGGAATGATTACTGTAATAAAAGGTAACGCAATGCAACAATCAAGAGATGAAAAGTGACAGCTTGGAGCTCACCACTGCAGATACTCCAGAGAGAAGTTCAATCTGATGGTGTTGTCATCTTCCTCCATGTAGTTCTCATTGAGCAAAGTGCAGAGCTCCGTCAGCTGGAAGGAGGGAAGAGGTCTGAATTTGCAGTCATTGTGAGGATCCGACAGTGTTGTCTGTATGTCTATGATGATACATTTCAGAATTAGTAACTCACCACTGTAGAGCTGCTCAGGTCCAGAGTATCCCAGGAAAAACCTTGAGGAAGAGAGAAGGGCTCCTCACGGACACTGACTTCTGCCTCTGCTATTGGGCCGTGAGTTGTAATGGTGTCGTCTG